TAGCTCAGACATGATAGCTTGGGGAGATCCCATCATTGGGCCCAGTTCATGATGCGCCCCCTTCTCTTCTTGATTCAGGGCCTACCTCACATAAGGGACCTTTCATATATACAGGTGGGCATCCTGTCCACAGGCATATTTCACTCTCTTTCACAAGCAGTTGCTCCTGGGCCACCCTGGGACCTAGAATAGTACATACCAGTGCCCCCCACAGAAGGTCAATCTGAGGGAAGAGGTCCAGGCAGATTCTAGCACCAGTACACTCTCTTAAGTAGAAACTCTTGTGTCCTGGTGACGCTGTGAGTTAAATGCTGGGCTGCTAAACACAATATTGGTGGTTCAAACCCACCACACCATGAAAGAAAGATGAGGCTGTCTACTCCAGTAAAGATTTAAAGTCAGTCTTATAGGTTTGTTATCAAATGGAATCAACTCAATGGCAGTGAGTGGGCACCCAGAATGTAGTCTATAGAGCGAGGGCACATTTTGGATAGGCATGCCCCCTTGATCTCTTAGACTTCTCTACACTTTGGGAGGAAGGCCAAACAGGGGTTCTCTAAAGAAGAGACATTTCCCCCACCTTGCTCAGGTCTGAAGACAATATGAATTCATTTCCATACGTTGACCCTGTAGTGTTAGTCTTTGGGGTCTTGCAGATCTTCAGTCAATGTTGTTGTTGCTGCTGTTGTTAAGTGCTGTCAAGTCAGTTCCAATCCATAGCAACCCTGTAGAGGGTTTCCAAGGAGTGACTGTTGAGCTTGAACCACCAACCTTGCAGTTCAAATCGACTTTGCAGTCTAGTACATTAACCCACAGCACCACACCAGGACTCCAATTGTTAGTTGAGTCGGCTTCAATTTATGATGACCACGTGTATAACAGAATAAAATCCTGAGTGGTCCTGTGCCATCTCCATGAGCACTGGTACGTCCTTGTCCATCAGTCAGCTCCTCCTGATGACGTGTCCTTGGTGACCCTGCTAGTATTTGAAGTATCCGTGGCATAGCTTCCAGCATCATGGGAACATGTAAGTCACCATAATACAACAAACTTAGGTCTTCTTCATTTGTAAAAGGGTATGTGTGTGGGGGGTGCAGGAGCTGTCATGAGGATTCAGTGGGAAATTATTACACAAGCACCTACCCTGAGCCTGGCAGGTAGGAGGCTCTTTGCAAACCAGAGGCCCTTCCTCTTATTCTGTCATATAAGCTAGATCTTATTTAGTAGGAAAGAGTGGGAAGAACTTTTGAAGCAAATTCCACAAGCATATGTTCCCACTGTAATGACCACCAGCATCGTTTGGAGAAACTAGCAGAGAGGGTGGGCAGGAGGTAAGTATACACCATAAGAGCAGAGCTACCTACACAGCAGCGGAATCTGGGGCAGGGCCATGGTGTGCACCTAGGGCAGCAAGTACAGTGGAAGGAACTGGGAATCTTGTACAGGCGAGAGTTGATGAAAAGATTTTTTTTTTCTATTTCAAGAAAATCTTGGTGGCCGAATGCAATTTAACTAGCTATGTAGAAAGATTGTTGTTGTTGTTGTTAAGTGCCATCGGTCGGTTCCAACCCTTAGTGACACTGTCTAGGGTTTCCTAGGAGCAGCTGGTGAGCTCAAACCACTGACCTTGCAGTTGAACTGGCTTTGCAGTCTGGCACATTAACCCCCAGCAATTTGATAACTTTTCTACGTGAGGTCTATTTTATTTTAGATTTGCTCTAGGTCCTGATGGATAATAAGCTCCTAGAGGACAAAGCTGTATCTTGTTCCCTGATAAATCTCCAGCTCCTAGCGTATTACCTGGCACCTCGTAAGTGCTCAATAACAATGTGTTGCAGGAATGATTTCTAGTTGAGTTTACTGCTTGTATCATACGGCGACTCTCAACTACTACAGACATCTCAAACTAGACTCGCTCTCTTCCTCAAATCTACTTCTTCCCCCAGTTCTATTTTATGGAGGGCAGAGCCACCACCACCCCCAACTCCTCCCTAGCCAGGGCTCTGTGCTCTGAACATCCCTCTTCACCACCTCTCTTGTACCAGGTTGGTCAACCACATGTCCAGGTGATTCTACCCAGTTGGTAGTTTTTTTAATGTATCCATTTCACTATGGCAAACCCAGTTCTGGTCATAATTTGACCAACACTGAAATACTGCAGAGGCCTTTTAGGTGCTACCCTCACACCTATTCCTGGTCCTTAATACACCCTCCCCATTACAAAGTGGACTTTACACATCTAATCATATTCCTCCTGGACTTCAGGATAAAGTCCAAGCTGCTTGTCACAACCTGTGTGACCCCACTTTGCTATTGCCCCTGCTATATTAGTTAGTCATGGGAACAGGCTTTTTTGTATGCAGCTTTTTTATATCTCCTGTTGTTAACTGCCCTTAACTCTGGTGGTCTCATCCACAATGGAAGAAAATGATTCCTGGTCTTGTGCCATCCCACAATCTGTTGTAAATCAGTCAGACTATTGTGATCCATAAGGAGCTCTGGTAGCGTAGTGGTTACGAATCGGACTGCAAACCACAAGGTCAGCAGTTCGAAACTACCAGCTGCTCCACGGGAGAAAGATGAGGCTTTCTGCTCCCGTAAAGATTTTAAAAAAGCCTCGGAAACCCTGCACAGGGTTGCTATGGGTCAGAACTGACTCGACGGCACTTAATAACAACAACAACATTGTGATCCATAGCATTTTTATGATCTGGTTTTTGGAAGTGGGTGGTGACGCCTTCCTCCCTTAGTCTATCTTAGTCTGGAAGCTCCACTGAAATACATCCAGCAACTTCTAAACATTCTAGCCTCTACTGAGAAGAGATGGGTGCATCTGCTGAGAGTTGAACCTAGGTTTTCCTCATGGAAGGCAAGAATTCTATCACTGACCCACCAAAACCCAAAACCCACTGCCATGGGGTCTATTTGGACTGATCACCAATGCCTTCTATAATCAGTTTGTTCCATAAATGAATAAGGTTTATAAAAATCAAAGCAAACTTTGATTTATTAAGATAACTATAAATTTTAAAATAAAAGACCTAAGCTCACAATCATCAAAGACAAACAAGGATCTAGCTGAGCCAATGGCTGCCCAGAGACACTCTGGTTGAGTTAACCTTTTGAACAGAGCCCACACCACAGTGGCTGCTTTGGTGCAATGCCTTGGGCACTTTGCACTGACCTTCCCTTGGATAGGGAATTATTTTAGTTCTGGTGTGAGTCACTGGGCTATTTCAAGAGATCACCATCTTTCTCTGGAGTGGGCTCTCCTGACACCTGACACACTTAAGCCATGTAGCTGCTCAAGAGAAGCCTGGCCAGTCTGTTGTACAAAAACAGTCCTTAGGAATTTATCCTCCATATGAAAGGTTGACTAGAAATCATGGAACTGGTCCGTCTTTGTGTTCACCACACAGGCTCTGCCCTCACATCAGTCTTCTTTTATCATCAGTCATAGGAGCGCCTCCCAAATTATCTGGGGAGAAAGTGTCCATGGTCTTATTTCTGACATAAGGATTGTTATGAGTTGAATTGAGCATCTTCACCCCAAATATGTGCTGTAAATCCTAATCTCTATGCCTGTGGCTATCATCTCATTTGGGAAAGGGTCATCTGATATGATAATGAGACAGTATTAATGTGGGGTGTGTTCTGAGTCCATTTCTTTTGAGATATAAAGAAATTAAACAAGCAAGTGAGCTGAGATGAGACAGAGGGATGCCAAACTACATGAAGATCTCTCCGGAGGAGAAGCTCAGAAGAGACCAGACCTTCCTCCAGGGCTGTCAGAGGGAGAAACCTTCCCCCAGAGCCAGCATCCTGAATTCAGACTTGTAGCCTTAAATTTATATTTGTTAAAGCCATCCACTTGTGGCATTTTTGCCTGGTGTTGCGCTGCAGGGTAATGCAATGGACCACAAGGTCAGCTTGAACCACAAGGTCCTGGCGGTTCATACCCATCAGCTGCTCCTTGGAAACCCTTAGCAACAACAGCATTAAGATATAGACAAGGATCATACCATTGACAGGTTTTGTTATTTGGTTTGTCTTCATTTAAAGCCAGTTGTTGTCAAGTTTCATGGCAAGCCCGTATGTGTCAGAGCAGAACTGAGCTCCGTGGGGTTTACAATGACTGATGTTTGGGAAGCAGATGAGCAAGGCTTTCTTCCAAGAATCATAATTTAGTCATCTTTAACTAGTAGTAAAAATATTAAGTGCCTCATTGTTATTTACACCATCAAATAAAACAAAGTTAGTATTTGGTTTAGTATCCCGTCGTAAATGTTCCATGGATGCCAAGGATTATTAGTCGATATTTTATACTTGGTTTGTTGTAAGCCAGGATTTGGAGAAGTTACTAAAATGTGTACCAAATGATTAGACAAAATAAGTAAATGAGAAAACTAGGGTAACCGGGACATGCGTCATCCCAGAGAATCATAAGTATCATAGCTTTCTTGCTCAAGAAAGAGTGCTCAAGTTACCAACTTGGCCATTCATTTATTCATATACCTGACTTTGAGCAGCTTTTTGGCATGGCGGCATATTCAAAGGAGTACAAAACCTTGTTTGTGCCTTAAGCTGGAAGAAGAGTCCAGACACAACATAGTGTGGCAGAAACTGTGAGTGAAAAATGGAGAAAGGTGGGTGTCCTGTGACTTGTCTGGGATGACCACCTGGATTCGTTCTCATGTTTGGTGCCTTGGTGGCGCAATGGTTAAGCATGTCATTGCTAACCCAACGGACTGCAGTTCGAATCCAACAGCACCACCATAGGAGAGAAGACCTGGAGCTGTGTGCTCTCATAAGGTTACAGGCTAGAAAACCCCACGGGAGCAGCTCTGCTTTGTCATGTAGAGTCACTATGGGTCAGCATCAACTCGACTACATACAACAGGATGAACTGGCTCTGCGTTTACCTCTCCACCCTGACAGTGTGTCTCCTTTGTGTTTGTTTTAGCAGCCCACTTGGGGGCCAAATGTGATAAACCAAGAAGATGGCCAAGATCAACACCCAATGTTCCTACCCCTCCCAGGCCCACCTCGCAGTAAGGATCATGGACAATGAACTCGAGCGAATTGAAAATGGCCTCGGTCGGTAAGATGGCCCTTTCATCTTATACCCAGACCAGGGTATTTCCTAGCTGATCTAGACCTGGGAGAAACCACAGGTTTGGATGGAGGGTGGAGAGTTCACAGCATTCTTTCTAACTTCCTTTTTCATCTCACTTAATCATAGCAGCCCTCAGTAAAGTAGCTCCCTTCTCCATTTCAGAAATGCAGGAAATGAGATCCAAAACTTTGCATAACTTCTAGAAGGTAACAAAATGAAGATTCAAAGACAGCAAATTAACTCTACTGTCAAAATCTCCCCAAATTGCCACTCTTTCCCATGTATACAACAAACACTGGTTGTAGTCCTAGCTTGTGCAAGACACTGTTCTGGGCATAAGGGATACCAGATGCTCTACCTCTCACCTCCAGGCGAAGATTAGAAAGACATCCTGTTCCTGGGTCTATAGTGAGTTGGTTGGGCCTTGACAATTAAGTCATTGACTCCATCAGTGATCTCCTGATACAGGCAAACCTTGAGGTCTAGGCTGTTGTGTTCTGCTTCTAGTCCTTTGCTAACTTAGCAAACCTAGGAAAACTCACTTAACTAACTCTTCATGCCTCAGTTTCTTCAACTACAAAATGGAAAGGTATTCTTTTCCAAACTCTTGGCATAATAGTTAGGACTTGGGAAAGTACCTGTTTGGAGCAGATGGACCTACATTTTTATTTCCTTAAATGCTCAGTGAGATTATTTCATTGAACCATGAGGAACTTTATTTCCAATATTTATGCTATTTTTTCCTCAATATATAGCATTGAAGTCCTGGTGTGGCTCTGTGGGTTAATGAGCCAGACTGCGAAGCCATTTGAACTGCATGGTTGGTGGTTCAAGCTCACCAGCTGCTCCTTGGAAACCCTATACAGGGTCAATATAGGTCGGAACCGACTCGGTGGCACTTAACAACAACAAACAACGATATAGCATTGAAAACTACTTCCTCCTATACGGTTGACATGCATATTATCTGGTGATCAAAAAATGCAATGACAGCCTCTCAGTCTCCTCAAGCCCAACACGTGGACTCTCATCCATCAGCTCGTCCCACTCATTCATGTGTGTGTCACTTCCTCACTGATGCGCATTTGTTCCTCTCTGTCGAGACTCTTAGTCCCAGCTTCTCAGAAAACTCTGCTAATAAGCAACTGTCTTAGTATTCTCTAGAGAAACAGAGCTAGTGAGTCACGTTGACATAGCGACAAAAGAGAGACAGACAGATTGACTTCAAGAAAATGCTCGTGAAATTATGAGGGCTGGCAAATCCAAACCCTATGGATCAGACAGCAGGATAGAGAGGCTTGTGACCCAAGATCTATAGGTCAGAGATGGGAGAATTACAGGGTAGACAGAAAAAGAGGAAGTTCTGCCAAAATACCACAAAGTCTGGGGAAAGACCAGACCCTACGGCAACTCCTCTTTCAATTGATAGATTAATTATGGAAGTGATTATATTACATTACTTTGCATTTTATTAGACCACTGAACATTATGGAACAACAGCTAGTGGTTTGACTGAACCACTGGGGATCATAAACTAGTGAAGTTGACACATAAAATTAACCATCATAGTGATAAACAACTATTTCCAAAGACATTGCCTCCATTATTGCAAACGTAGGCTGTGCTTAGAGCCTGCATTCTGAGAGTCTAGTGGAGGAAGGAAAGACCCATAGTATCTCAAGAGATTTCTGTTCCCGGCCACCATTTTAACTCAGTACTGGATGCTCAGGGAGTTCCATATAATCTCAGAGGCATCTAAAAAATCACACCCTGCTCAAATATTCCCCCCTTAATCAACCTACAAGGAACCCTGGTGGCACATCTTTGAGAGAAAGATGTGACAGTTGGAGTCTGTAAGGATTGACAGTCTGGGAAACACTCAAGAGCAGTTCTACTCTGTCCTCTAGGGTGGTTATGAGTCCAAATTGACTTCATCTTGTTTTGGGGGTGTTGTTAATCAATGTCTTGTACTAGAGATTTATTGCTTTAGGTCAAGGGTGAGGAATGTCTGGTCTGAGGGCTGCATAAGGCTCCTGAAATCATTTGGTCTGGCCCTGCCAGGATAACTGCAGTTCCAGCCATCACGTTGTTGTTGTTGTTGTTAAGTGCCCCAACCCATAGCAACCCTGTGTAGGGTTTCTGAGGAGCCGCTGATAAGTTTGAACCATTGACCTTGCAGTTCAAACCAACCTTGCAGCCAAGTGCTTATCCTACAGCATCACACCAGGACTCCAGCCATCACATTGTTGTTGTTAAGACTCACAGAGACCCTGTATGGGGTTTCTGAGGAGTTGCTGGTGAGCTTGACCAACTACCTTGCAGTTAAAACCAACCTTACAGTTCAGTGCATTAACCCACATTGCCACACCAGCCATTACATTGTTGTTGTTGTTGTTGTTGTTGTTGCTAAGTGCCATCAAGTCAGTTCTGGCCCATAGCAACCCTGTATAGGGTTTCCGAGGAGCAACTGGTGAGCTTGAACTGCCGACCTTGCAGTTCAAACGGCTTTGCAGTTTGGCATATTAACCCACAAAGACACATCAGGACTCTGGCAATTACACTGTTGTTGTTGTTGTTGTTAAGTGCATTAGGGGTGAGTTAATTAAATATTTGAACAAATATAATATGGCTAATTTTTAAGTTGATAATTTTTTATGGCCCACAAATTATGTTATAAATTTTGGCAGCAAAAAGATTCCCTGCCTCTGCTTTAGGTTAAGGCATTGCCCCTTATTGAAAAAGAAAAAAAATTTTATTATGATGGTTATCTGTCATGAATATATGCATTAACATTTCTTACCAAGGTCTAAGCCAACCAAGTCCCTTAAGTGGAGCTTAGGAAAGAAAGATGAGGGTGCGGGTGACAGTGCCCAAGCACCGGACGAGGCAGTGAAGTCAGGCTCCTGGGAGCCACAGGCTCCTGAGATCTTGGGCCCAGTGGGAGAAGTACAGAAGCTGTCAAGATAAGAGAGATTTTGAAGCAAAATGTAACTTCTGCCTTTGGATCAGATAAGGTGTGACCCATGCAGTCATTAAGCTTCCAGACTCCTGAAGGGAGAGAAGGTAGGGCAGCTCCCAATCAGCCTCCTCCCTGTAAGACACTCCAGAGAAGAAGGCTGGCCTGGTGTCTGGGCTGGAGCCATAATGCTCCCCCTGACTTGTGCCTGCCTGGACCAGTGGCCACAAACATGCTCTGACTTATGGGTTACTAAGTCAGCTCCTGAGGCCTCTGGAGAAGTGACCCTTTGCAGAATGAATTGCTAGCCCATTAAGCCACAATGACCCCTACTGAGAAGGCACTGGCTTCTGAAAGACTCAGCAAGCTCACACTGAGCTGCATGTTTGTTGGCAATAGTCACTCACACAGGGGGCTAGGGGATAGGGGCAGGGGAGGAGGGTCAGTCACATGGTCAAAATAAATAAATAAATAAAAACAAAATGAATCAACTGCCATTGAGTTGATCCCAATTCATAAAGACCCTATATAGGATTTCCGGGGCTGTAAACCGTGCAGCCAGAGTGCTTCTTGGAGACCACAATGGCCAAACTACGTCTCTCATACTTTGGACATATTGTCGGGAGGGACCAGTTGCTGGAGAAGGATCTCATATTTGGTAGGGTGGAGGGTCAGAAAAAAAGAGCAAGACCCTAATGAGATGGATTGGCCAGGTGGCAGAATCAATGGACTCAAGTGTGGCAACAATAGTGAGGTTGGCCCAGAATCAGGCAGCGTTTCATTCTGCTGTGCAAAGGGTCTCTATGAGTCAGTACCGACTGGATGGCACCTAACAACAACAAATCTTTTTTTTGTGTGTGTGTGTGAATTATGTGATAGCTTACATGGGAAAACATTAGCTTTACATTCATCCTATCTTATATCGTTTCATTGCCATGGTTACAATCCCCTCCATGTGTCATCAACCAACCAAGCCTGTCCCCTGGGTCATCAGCACATAGCTCCTCTCCCTCTCTGGGTCTAAAGTCCCCAGCCATTCCATCTCTCCATGTCATTGTCCCCACCTCCATCTCTGCCATCACTGCCTCTCTGGGTAGAGTCCTGCTCTCTGCTCTTCTCCCTTGACGGTCCCAGGGACCTCCGCTCCTAGACTGCAAAGTCAATCATTCCCCTCCTTTTGCTACAAAATGTCTAGCTTTACATTTCCAACCCTCACAATCAGTCCTGATAACAATTATTCACTATTGTATCACAAAAGACCTATCAGCATCTCCTTTCATCAACCCTGCCCAGACAGATTGGACACCACTCAGTGGAGATTCCACCTTCTTCCATGCCCTCTGGATCTAGGTTCCCTCCTGAAAGCTTGTAAGCCAGTCATTTCTTGTCTTTGTAGCCGCCCCCCCCCCCCCCATTTTGGGTAGCCAATATCCAAGTTGCCCATCCCTGTCTACTCTGTGTATGGAGGGGGTGGGAATGATCCTTGCTGTAAAGATTTGTTCCCTCTTTTGAGCTACTGCATCCATAGGTATAGGTCAAGTTCATCAAATTGTGTCAGATTACTCCTTTTTTCCTCTTCTTTCTTCTTCTAGTTGAGCTTTGATCATCCAGCCATTGAAGCCAGGAGTCAAGTGGGTATTATCTGCAAATGTGGGTTCTCTTGTGCACATCCCCTCTCTTCTTGTCAGCTGGACACTTCACTCTCCACCCTAGTCCTCTGTGGCTGTGTCACTGACTCTGGGCCCAAGAGTCCCCAGGTCTTGCCATACTGCTGGCCGACTAGGTCTCTTGTGAACCCGGGTTCACAAGAGTCTATTGAACCTTGCAGGGCTTAGCTTACAGCTTTATTGCTGTTTTCCCCTAACAACAAGAAATCTTGCTAATGGATTTTAATTACCAACCTTGTGGTTAGCAGTCCACTGCCTAACCCACAGTACCACCCGAGTTCCTTAGTCACATGGTTAGGAGTTCCGAATTGATGCCCTTCAACTACACATTGCTAAAACGGGGTTGCCTCAATTTGGGCTGA